AGGAATCTGTATCTCAAAATAACGTGTGACTTAAGCTTACTTTTGCTGCTCCTCACAGTAGGTTTGAAGGCTGTCAGGTACTGAACTCAGGTCCATCACAATGACACATGCATTCTCCCACACTCAGAGGATCTGTTTTAGTGGAGCAGCCCAGCAGGCAGTCAGATTTTAGCTAGTCCCAGCAGAGCAGCTGCTTGGAGGCCAGTGGAGAGTGGTGTGGCAGACCACACCTCAGGAAGCAGCAGCCCTGGTGGTGAAGAACTCCCTGCATCTGGCTCTGAGAGGAGGAGAACAAGCTGACGATGAGAAACTTGGATGGAGGCTGACCCTTGGCTTTGAACAGTCAGAAATCACCTCTGTAGGGCATGTCACAGGCATCACCAGAGCATCCACACAGCTCATCCCACCTTGGCCTTGCTAATGGTAAAAGTGTGCACTGGGTATGCATGGATGGTGCCTACCCACGCCCAGCATCCTTTGTCTCCCAGGGCTGGGTCTGTGTGGCTCAGGGAAAGGTACAAATATTGCCCTGCACAAAATTACTGCAGAATCTGTCCTTGTGGAAAGCTGCTCCTTATACCATAGCCTAGAACTCATCTTCAATGCCCTGGAGCAAGAGGGTTTATAGCTCTTTGGAGTTCATTCCTATTTATTCTCATTGTCTACATAAATGTCTAGTCAGGCTTTTTTTTTTTAATGAATGCCTTTTCTTGCTACCCAGTGGCAATGAGTTCACTGGATCATCAGCGTTTAGGATGAAAGTAATTCTCCCTGTCATTCATTTAGATTGCATTTTTTTCTCATTTTGCCTTATATCCTGGCAGGTTGCAAAAAAAGCAAACAAAAGAAGTCATGCCAAGTCTAGGCAGTGATCCCAGATACTCCAGGGTCACAGTGACTGTGACATTGGACTTGGGCAGCATTCCTGGAGGCTTTGGGAAGATACAAAATACATCTTGGGGTAGCCCAGGATGGCTACTCTTAGGGCAGTACTGGAACACAGGAAGGTGAATCCAAGGGCAGCTCCCGTTCCCTGAGACACCCCTTGCAAAGCCACCAGGCTAGGGGAATTGGGTACTTCCCAGTGGCATTTCTGGTGGTCTCAGCCAGAGACCTAGGAAGATTTGAAGAGTTTTTGGAGGCTTAACTGCACTTTTGCCACTAGAGGACAAAACTTGGGGCAGAGTGACACCAGACAGAGTCACCAAGACCAGAGCTTCTCCTTTTTTCTGTCATTCCCCAGATATGCCATCAGTTCCGCTGCTGAGTGTATGCATTGCTGTCTGCTAGCCTGGCCATGCTCCACAGTGTGGCAGAGCATTGAGATGGTACAAATTGCGAGAAAAGAGCCAGGAGGTTTTCTACCTTTGACTTCCACCCCCCTTCCCTGCTTCTCTTTTGCCTGCCCCCTCGACTTCCCCGCTGAAGGCACAAACACCTACTGCCCATGGAAGCTATTTCTAAGCAATCCCGGGCATCTGGGGAATGAGAATCTGAACAAATATTGGAGCGTGTGTGTGCAGAGAGTGCACACACATGCACACACACACACACACGCACACACACACGCACAGCCACAGTGCTGCTGCAAAGTCAAATATAGACCTTGTGGAAGGGGAACAATGGCTGGGGTTGGGTTACATGGCTGTAGGGCTGGAGAGCTGCTGTTTGTTGTGGGCTGGGGTGGAATTGGAAAAGCAAGGGGGGTGGGATGGGGGAGAACATTTGTTTTAACCTAGAGACCCTGGGCTGGTGCTGTGCATAAGGCGGAGAGGGTGACCCGGAGCAAGAGCTGAAGAGGATGATCATTTGAGTTGGCAGCTCAGAGGTGTTTGCAGTCTTTCTCCAGCTTCTTCGTGCTGCTTTTCTGCCTTTCTTGAGGAATTAGAGTGAGCAGGAAGGGGTGAATTACTCTGGTCTTCTGCACAGGGAAGAGTTTCTGCTCCAGGGAAGGCTTCTTCGTGAAGGAGAAGGGGCAACGTTATCTGTTTTCTCAGCCCAGCATCTGCTTCTTGTCCCTGATGTCTGGCTGTCTCCAAGGTGCAGGTTCCAGACTCCGGAAGAAAGGGAAGCAGCTTCAGCTGGTTTTGACAGGTAAATCCTCCCTCTGTCTGTGAGTGGTGACGGTGTGTTGGGATGATGATGGGGGAGGGAGTCTTCATCTGGCATGCATTGGAGGGAAAACCACGGCAAGAGGTTGCTCCAGTTCCCACTCCAGGTCCCTGCTTTGTGGGATTTCCTTCACTGGAGGGAAAAGCTATGGAGGGACTCTTATGGCTAGGAAAAAATCCTTCCTAATTCTGACCCAGCAGCTGTTCCATCTGAGACGCCTCTAGGGATGGCATGGCAGAGATCAGAGCCTAGTAGAGCAGGGTCTAAGCCAAGAACAGGAATCCCCTCAATGCCCATTTCTTGGGTCTGCAAATAGAGCTGCTCTGATTAAATAGTACTGAGCAGTGCACGGACTGACATAGCAAGCCTGAGATACAGGATTATGCCTGGGGATGGGACAGGAGCCCTTCAGTGTGGAGAAAGGAGTGCACCCAAGGTCCACATTCCATGGGTCCCTTCTCCCTCCTCTGTATTCCCCTTTTACTCCCATCCATCCCTTCCTGCTTCTCTCTATGGTACTCATATGCAAAGCCAAACCTCAAACCACAAAACATATTTCCTCAGATACCCCACCTTCTAAAATCCCACCCTGGATTTTGTTCTTCATTCCCCTTCCTCAGAGCTCAGACCTTCAGCAACCAACTTTACTGCCTCAGTCTGGACAGCCCTAACTTGGTGGTACAGCTCTCACCTCCAGGAGAAGCAGCACGGAGAGAGCCGCGTTTCCCATTCTGTTGGCTGCAACCTAACCCCATCTCCCCCTCTCACAGCACTCGTGCTGTGGATGCAGATACTTACGGATATCAGCATACGTCAGGGTCCCTCTGCAGGCCTCCTCCTATCTGCCCATTCAAATGCACACACGGCATCCAGAGGGTTTTCTTAGGCACATTTAACCAAGTGAGGTTTAAGCATGAGCCCGGGCATGGCTGTGCAATGACGTTGCAGTGTAGTGTGGTCAGAACCAGGGCAGATCCCAGCAGAGGAATGTGGGAGCAGATGAGGATGTTGCAGAAGGTGGTGTTCTATTTGACACAGTTAGTGAAGGTCGTAGGATTTCAAGGAGGAAGTGAGAGTGAGGCTGAGCAGCCTACACTCGGGTGTTGGAGGTGTCGCCTGTAGACCCTTGGCCTCCAACCATGACTGGCAAAGAGCGCAAGGCAGGGTGTTGTGGGTGTCAGAGCAGATATGTGGATCATTCCATATCCTAGAGCTGTAGTGATGGAAGGAGAGACTGTCTCTTTTTAAACCAAGTACCAGAAGCTGTGCTTTGCCCTCAGCCTTCCCCTCTCCTTTTTGCTGTAAGCTCCAGACATGGTAGGAATCAGGGCTCAAAAGCAGGCTGAGCTGGCTGTGAGGGATCAGGGGATGAGAATGGATGTAGAATCGCAAGAAGCATCTCAGGATAGAGCTGGTGCACACCTGTCTCATAAATATCCGAAGAGCTGATGGAGCAACCTAAGCAGGAAGTTTGAACTTCTCTGTCCCTCCGTCTGTGGGGTGATAGAGACAGGAGGAGGAGGAGGGCGAGGAAAGGAACAGGGCTGACAGGAGAGCAGGAAGGAGGAAGGAAGGAGGCAGCTCCTGCAGAGGTAGGCACAGTGGTAAGCCCCCATTTCATTGCTCAGTCATGTTGTGTTGTCCGGGCACGCCAAGGCTGAGCAAGCAGGGGTCCCCTCTCAGAGCTGGCAGAGACCTTGGCTTTGATGGGGCTGCTGCCTGAGCTGCTACAGGGTCCTGGGGCTTGCAGAGCTGCCACAGGCTGCTGGCAGGGCTGTCAGGAACTGCAGAGGGCTGGGAAGGACTGGAGAGGGTAGCAGGGATGGGTTGAGCTTTGTCTAATGAGATGAGATGGAGTGTGAAAACGTCTATTAAGTGCCTGTAGGATATGGTTCTTCTGCCTTCCTGGGAAAACCAGCAAATCTTACGGGATACAGGAGTAGAAAAGAGCTGACTGGTGTGAACTTGTAGTCTAATTAAGGATTGCCTTTGAAGGTGACAGATATGGTCAAGTAGCAGGAAGGCCATGCAAGGTGAGGAGGAGAGCAGGCAGCTATTTCTTCCAAAGATGTGACAGCCCAGACCCTGTCCCTTGCCTTATTGTACCTTAAGGTCCACTTAAGTGCTGATGTTCACATCTCAGGAGCGGCAGCAAGAGAAATGCTGGGGACCACAGCTCCTCTGGATGGCTTCTTTTTGTGGGGTGACTGCTACAAGTTGAACCTTTATTTTAAGGATGGGGCTTCTTAACCCTACAGTTTGCCAGTGGAGGTGTTTTAGTGGACCCCGGGGACATCAGGGAGGCGCTGCAGGAGGTGTTTTTGCTTTTTAGTATTGTTTCAGATAATCTGAGCAAAACGAAGGCTCGGATCATCGCGCACCTATTAGAGGGGCGCCAGGCTGAGAGGCTCGGTGCCCCGCGGGACCGCGCCCCTGCCCGGGCGAGGGCGGCGAGCGCCGCAGCCCACCCCGAGCCCCGGGCGGGNCTGGGGTCCCGATAGCATTCAGACTGGGGTCAGTGCCTGATAGCCCACGTCCTGGGGATCTCCCTGGTAGTCCCCAAGCGGACAGAGGTCCCTAATAGCCTCCAGAGGGTGGTTAATAGACTCGGGGGGCGTCCTCGGAGCACCTGGAGGTCTGGTAGCCCCCAGCCCGGCCAGGCAGAGGCGGACGAGTGGGACACGGAGGGAGCTCCCTCGCCCCTCTCCTTGTGACCCAGAGCCAGGCCTGCCCAGGTGGGAGCTGCTCACCCCTCTCCTGGGCACCAGCTGCCGCACAGGGTGCCGGGGCCCGGGGCGACCGCGGGGGTTCGGCTGGGAGCAGCACCCATGGCTAGAAGGTCTGAGAAGCTGCACCTCGAGTGGGGAGCTGTGGGGGGAAAAACAGCCTTTGCGATGGCATGTGATCGGAGCTTATGCTTCTCACAGCCCTAAAGGAACATGATACTCATTCTCCAGCCCTAAATTATTTTATAAGTTTCATAGCAATTGCTTCACCCTCCACTGAAATGCAGCAGCTGTTTGCCACTGCCCAGCGTTTAGGGGCAGGAGGTGAAGGAGGGTCCTGCAAGCATGTTGTCAGAGGGACTGTGGGGAGGGAGGATGCGGCAATCCGTGGTGGGATTTGGCTGGGGCAGTGACAGTAACATCCTGTAGCCCCTCTGAAAATGCTGCATCCTTTGCTGGTGGTGGTTTGTTTGCTGGAGAGATGCTTCAAGCAACATCATTGCTTCTATGGGCTATTTTGTCCGGTCCAGGCAGGTGAAGCTCTTAGCAGGGACCCCAAAACCTCTCCCTGCATTGCACGTGTACGTTTAGGTGGGTGGGAGGACTTATGTCCCCATCTTAGAAGCCTCTCATACAACAAACATAACCTTCCAGAGCTAAAGAGTCAAGCAGAAAGTGGAATGGCCTCTGTTCATCACACCCACGCAGCTGGATAGAGTTTGCTCCATACCTTCACCATTCTCCTAACAGAACTGTTTAACCCCTCCCATCTCATTACAGTAATGTATTTATGATATCACCCTCGAATTTCCTGCCCTTAACAACCCCAGAAGGCTGGGAGGGAATGAAGCATTTTTGGAAAGTATTTAATGCTACTTCAAGAGGGCGGGAGGCGGTCGGAAGATAGATGGGTGCAGGAACCTTGGGCTGACGGGGCTCTCTGCAGGACAGCTGAGGAAAAGGACCGCACCTAGTGAGAGGTGTGCGTTCACATTTCCTGCCCGGGGCTGCAGCCCAGCTCTAGTGCCTGCTGCTACACTCGCTTGCTTGGACAATGAAAGAGGATTGTTGCTTACTGTGTGCTCCTCTGCTGGATTCGCTGGACTCCCTGCTCTCCTTCAGGGTTTGAAAAGCAGCCTGGCACCGTGAAGAACACTCAGCCCATCTATTCATTCAGATGTGCACAAGAGGACCTTATTTAACATGAAGCTGAAGCCTCCCAGATCTAGGGAGGGGAGATGAAGGTCCCTACAGCTGTGTTGGTATTTCTGGAGGTTTCTGATCTCTTGACATCAGCTACCAGGGGTGGGTGCTCCAAGATGTGGAGTAACAGCCTGAGCTATTACACACTCAGGATTGCACACTAGGTTCTCCTGTACACACATTTTCAAAAGCTTTTTAATTCTTAGTCTCCCAACGCTGACTTAGAGGAGGGAGTCTGGATGGACAGAGGGGAGTGTGGTAACAGGTCTATATAAAACTGAATGTTTCAACTCCAAACTCCCAGGCACTAGAGAGGAAGAGATGTGTGAAATTAAGCTGTGGCATCAGCCAAGGGGTTTTGCTGACCTTACTGTTTTTCTCTCTGTAGGTGTTCATCTCGGTGGGGCCACACTGACCATGCTCAGGAGCTTCTGTCTCCAGCTCATGTCCTTGATTTGGATCCTCTTGGCCCATCACCAGCTTGTGCAAGGTGAGTCTCCGTACACATGGGTCCATGCTCTTTCATATCCATCTTTTCAAACCTGCCCTTGGCATTGCTGAAGTCTCCTCAGATTTCCATGCAAAATAGAGATGGCCTGACCTTGAAAAGCAGAAAATGATGCCCAATTATTACTCACCTGGGGTGTGACATTGGAGGCACCTTGCCCATGGGGGTGGCAGTGCCTGAGCAGACTGGCAGAGACATCCCTGCTGCTCTGTCTCTCACAGTTCGGGTGAATGGGTTCCCAAACCAATGAGCTTTTTCAGGGGGAAGAAGGTCCCAAAAGTGAACAGCTAACCCTGGATCCAGTGAGACAAAATCCTTTCCCAAATACTAGTTTGCTTTATCCCTGCTCTAGATAAGCAATGAATTCCCAAAGCCATGTGCCAGGAGAGATGGTTACAAGTAGGAAAGGTGGTGATACCCAGGCTTGGGGCTGAGCAGACCCAGGATGCTGTTCCAGCTCCATAGTGACTTGTTTTAGGGGGCTCTTACCCTGTGCAGTGGGACCTGCTGCCCCACTGCAGTAAAATTGCATGCACAGGGGATTTCTTCCCCTGCTCATATTCCCAGGCAGCACAAAATGCTGCTTGGGAAAGCCTGAGTGCATTTCTAGACATGAGGGCTTTAATCTGTTTCAGTCCAGGAGGGAGTGGCTCAGGTAAGGACATTCACCTCCTGGGCCTGGCCTGGGACTGCACAAGACTTCTGGAGAAACCCCCTGCTTCTTGACATTTGCTCTAGTTCTGCTGCTTGAGGAGCCAGACTGAACCAGCTCCCCTGTGGAGCTAAGATGCAAGCAAGTGATGGGGAAGAGGAGAAGGTGGAGATGAAAGGGAACACCTGGCACAAAGGAGAGGATGAGAAGTGGCACAGCGAGGCCGTGGCTCAGTTACAGCTTCTGTGGCTTTTAAATAAATAAACAGAACTGGATACCTGGCCCCATGTGATGCCAAGTCCTGCTTCCCTGTGCTGGAAGGGGAGTGCTGGCAACTGGGTCCTAGAAGAGGGCAGGACCCCCTGTCAGACCGCTCTGTGCCAATAGCTGCCCTTGGGGATGGCGACATCCTGGGAGGCAAAGTTAAAAAAATGCTTTCCGTTTCCATCCTTGATCCTTTTGTGCCCCTTGCAGTATTTGGCCCTGAGCTTTCTCACCATACTTACTGCAAGACTGTGGGACCAAGGTCCCAGGTGGGTCAGTCCCTATTACACAGGTTGTCTTAACACATGGGCAACCCCAGCTCTTGCCCAGAAGCGCCCGAAATCTAAGGGAAGCAGCAGAGAAGAGGTGGGGAAGATGGCCAGAGACCGAGTAGTTTTGAAGCAGAACCCCATTTCTCAAAAAAGACAGTGTTACTGCTGGTTGGGTTATTGTGAAATCTTCCTCTCTTGTGTGGCATCCAGCAAATGAGAGGAAGGTCCCCCACCTTACAGTTCTGGGGACAAGTAGGCTGAGCACTTAAGGAAGCACCCAGGGCCACAGGGAGACCTGGAATCATCTGTAGTCTCTGCTTAATCCAAGTCCACATGTCTCTTGCCTTGTAGGGGATGACTGCAGTGAGCGCTGCAATCTCGCTCACGGCTGCTGCGACCAGGATGGGAAGTGCAGGTATGGCTTGTCTTTGGCTCTCTGCTGTTTCTGACTGTAACTTCTTTCCTTCCCTTGGTGCTGTGTCCCTGGGGCCTACACCCCTTCCCAGAGCTGAAATACCTCCTCCTCCTTCACTCACCCACACTTGGAATCAATGACTCTGCTCTCTTCTTACCTGATGCCTTTTGGAATGAGAGATTTTGATGCCTCAGCCTCTTGCTGGTCCCTCTAGCCTTTGCTCCTGTGCTTCCAGAGTGCCCACCTTCACAGACTGACCAGTGTTATTCTGCTGAGCCTTTTTTGTCTAGAGGGAAGTCTAGTTCAGCCTGACCATGCCTGGGTGATGGGAAGCAGCCTTCAGGCTCAGATATGATGGGGGAAAGTCATCAGGGAGCAGGGCAGGCATGAGGGTTGGCCAGCTTGCTTGCTCTCCTCACTGATTGAGGTGGAGGTGCTCTTTCTGGGGCATGGAAGAGAGCTTCCAGCCATGCATATAACTGAGGGCTTCAGGGGTCCCCTCTCAGAAGCCTGAGCTGCGGTGGGGATCTCTGGATGTTTTCATAAACAGCAAGCTGTGAGCTAGAGCAGCAGAAGTGCGTATGTGGTACTTGGCATCCCAGATCCAGCTGGTGCCCAGATCCCGCAGGATCAAAGCTCAGAGCCCAACCCTGCACTTCAGCCTGGGAAGCACCCATAAAACTGCTCTGGGCTGCCACAGACCCACTGCCTATTGTCCCACTGTAGGACCATCTGGAGCCCCCATTCGGTAAGGCAGCACCAGGAGGCAAAGGGTAGTTTTGGGCTGGCCGGGATACCTGTGGTTGCAAGGGGACAGACCTTGTGGCAATGCCACAAGGCAATGCCACCCTGATCTCCTTGCCAGGGCATGATCAGTCCCTTTTTACAGGACAGCCCCTGGTGTCACACCACACCTGGGCTGCTTGTTCTTGCTGACTGCCACATCAGGGAGTGTCCAGCTCTGGTGTGGCAGGGCCCCCCCGTTTGCAGCTGCATGGAGCTCCTCCCTGAGCCCTTTCAGCAGCTGTGGCTGGTTGGGGGAGCAGGGTGCTGCTAAGCCCCAGCAAGAAAGGCCACAGGTGTCCCAGCTGCAGATCTTTCCGCACGTGAGTTGCTGCTGCTGACTTCAGGCCTCCAGAGCATTTGCTGAACCATGTGGTTTGGCAGTACCTCAAAATCACCTCAAATTCAGGGAGATTTGGCTGCTTACCTGGCCTCCTCCCTGGCAACTTTTAGGTTGGCCAGCTCCCTTTTGGAGAAGTGGAAGAGTTGATGGCACCTGCTCCTTGCAGGTACTGAGGGGTAAGGGAGTCTACATCCCTCTGCTTAGGGCTGTCCGGGTATGAATGTATTTCCCCAGACTACACCAGGCACATGGTATCACTTCCAGTCCCATCAAAAAGTCTCTAATTTATATATATAACCATTTTTCTCACTCCTCATCTCTTTGGAATAGCATTACGTGACAACAGCCAGCCCAGGTTTGAAAGTGCAGCTGTGGGCCAGCCCAAAAATACTGCAGTCACCACACATTGTGCTGAAATGAGCCCCAGCCATGAAAATGAATCCCCTTCCTTACTCTAGAAACTGTGTTGTTTTTGTTAGGTTTCATTTCGTGCTGGTTTAAGTATAGCTTTTGTTGTGGCTTGGTGCCACCTCCTCTCAGCTCTCATCTTGTTATCACTTGCTTTCCTCCTTGGAGCTGGCAGGTCTGAGGGATGCCTGCCACTGGAGCAATGCAGCTTGGTTTTACTTAGTCATTGCCACTGCCCTGCTCTTCTGGGGCCAGAAGGCTCGGTGTGTGCTACAGGTTTTCCCATTGCATTGCCCTTGTGAGCTGGCTGATAAGCCTATTCTGTGCACCAGCCATAGCAAGCAAGGTTTCATGGCTGGATTACCATGCACTCCAGACAAAAAATGACACACATTATAATGCAGAGAGGAGCAGTGAAACATGCAGACCTCAGCAGCCTCTTGTCCCTTTCCCTCAGGAAGCTCAGGGGCTTTTAGAGATGGGCTTTTCTCTGCCTGTCAGAGTGGCTGCCTGCTGTGGGAGGCACGGGAATTGCTGAGCTAATGCAGTGGTGTATACAGAGTGGCTGGTTGGAGGAGAGCAGAGGGACGTGGGCAGTGAAAGTGAAGCTGCTGAGCTCTGCTGCTGGCCACTCACCCTCCCTGGCAGCAGAGGGTGCCTGCTCCTGCTCTGTCTGCTTGCTTCCTTGAACAGACGAGATACCAGTACTTACTCCTCTGGAGGAGGGAGCCAGGAGGTCCATGGGGCCTTTGGGAGTGTTTCCGAGCACTGCTGTCTGTGGGAGCCCTGCACAGCACACAGCCAGCTTTTCTGCAGCTCCTGCTTGGATTTGATTGTGCTGCTATGCCCTGTCCTCCTGCAGGTGCGATCCAGGCTGGGAGGGGGAGTACTGCGAGGAGTGCGTGCGTATGCCGGGGTGTCTTCACGGGACGTGCCACCAGCCTTGGCAGTGCATCTGTCACACCGGCTGGGCAGGCAAATTCTGTGACAAAGGTGAGTCCTGGGCTTGACATCCCTGCCTCTGGTGCTGAGGGCAGAAGCCCAGCACACCCTCATGGATATGTCAGCCAGCATAGCCAGCGTAGCCAGAAGCCACCTGGGTGATGCTGTTTTGGCTGCCAGGGAGATGGGATGTTGCCTGGCTGCCACAGCTGGGACCATTCCCTTCCTGCAAAAGAGGTCAGACTGCTGACACTTGTTCCCTGGCTATGTGGCAAAGAGCTGGTGTGATGCTGGCCAGCCTCAGGAAATGGAGCAGATGAACTCATTGCATTTCTGATGCTGCGTCAGGACTCCAAGAGGCATTCCCTGCTTTCCCCAAGGCTTCCTGCCTTCAGCAGGTGGCTGGGGGACTCCCCTTCTCCAGCCAGAGGCTTTTCTGTATCGGGGGTCTCCACTGGTCAGACAGTTGGCATGCACTGCACCTTCACAACCACACAGGCACTGTTGCTGCAGGTGCCTGTTGGAGGGGAGAAGAAAGAAGCTTCTGCCATTTCTCCATTCCCAGGGGTTTTGGTGGGTTGTGTTTGCACTGAGTTGGCCACATCAACCCTCTTTTCTCCCTAATTCACACCGTTTTCTTCCCCTCAGACATACACATCTGCGAACACCAATCCCCCTGCCAGAACGGGGCACAGTGCATCTACGATCGAGATGGGGAGTATTCCTGCTTGTGTCCAGAAGGTTTCCATGGGAAGGACTGTGAGATGAAGACAGGGCCATGTGAGAAGGCAGGGTGAGACACTGCAGTGAGATTGCAGACAGCATTAACATCGGGTCATGCACTGCCAAGTGGAAGCCCAGCTTGGCTTGTTATCTGTGAATTTCCATACACTAATGGAGTTAAGCCAAAATCACCTCTGGCTTTGGTTTAGCAGTGCACAGTCCCATCAGGGCAAGGGCTTTGTTGCAATCTGAACAGATTCCTGTCCCTGCTGTAGGAGGATAGGAATCTGTTCATCATGCCTGGGACATCCTATCTCCCAGGCAGCCAAACTGCTGTAGGCGTGATGAGCTGACATCCATGATGCCTTTGGGGAGCATCAGGAGGGCATGTTCCTCTTCAGATCATTTGGCTGAAGATCTTCCCTGGTGGGTGGTGGGCCCGTGCACAGCCACAGCCTTTGAGGAGGTCCTGCAGCCTCTCACCCCCAGAGACTGAAACTCCCACCCAGTCTTCTCCTCGAGATAGCTGTCCCCATGGAGAGAGCTGGATACACTGACCATGCAAGCAGCTCTGCATGTTTACCTCCATGGGGCGGGGAAGCTGCTTGGTCTCCAGGGCCATGATCTATCCTTGCTGTCTCCACACAGGTCTCCATGCAAGAATGGTGGGCAATGTCAGGATGAAAATGGCTTTGCCAGTAACTTCACCTGCCGGTGTCTCGCTGGCTTTGTGGGGGCTCTCTGTGAGCACGATGTGGACGACTGCCTGATGCGCCCCTGTGCCAACGGGGCCACCTGCCACGATGGCGTCAACCGCTTCTCCTGCCAGTGCCAGGTGGGCTTTGAAGGGCGTTTCTGCACTATCAACATCAATGACTGCGCCAGCCAGCCGTGCAAAAATGGGGCAAAGTGCTATGACCGCATCAATGACTATGACTGCTTGTGTCCTGACCGCTTCACTGGGAAAACCTGTGAGATCTCCGTCCCTGAGCCCACCTGGTCTCCTCCCTACCAGCCTGCAAACCATGAGAATGCTGGAGGTGTGAAAAGCACCACTAGTGAGACGCCGGGGGTGACACAGCCGGAGCCCATCAGGACTGTGGTCACAGGGCGGCGTGTGGCCAACCACAGTGAGAAAGACCCTGGGGGAGGGTTGTTGAAAATCTCTGTGAAGGAGGTGGTGACCCAGAGGGACTCAGGGCTGAGTGAAGCCCAGCTGGTGACAGTGCTGGTGTTCGGGGTGCTGACAGCAGTGCTGGTCCTCATCACTGTCCTGCTAATGCTGAGGAACTGGCAGAGAAGCCGTCAAAGGTCAAACTGGTGCCAAAGCCCTTCTCAGGCTGCAAGAAAGCTCCAAGATCAGGAGTGTCAGGTGGGCATGCTCAACACCATCTTGATTGAGCCAAGGAAGACCACAGAGCTGTGAGCTGCGAGGACTCTGAACCAGGCCCTGGCAGGTCATCATGCTGGCAAACCCCTCAAACTGCACCCTGTGGAACCACACCGGCACTGACCGGGCAGCGGGGAAAGGCTCCCAGGGCAGCAAACATGTCAACAAAACCCTGGGTGTTGAGCATTGGTGTGATGGCCCTGTCTGGGTCTGAGCTGTCTCCTGTCTGGCTGGCTCAGCTGGCACCCATGGGCATTGGAAGGCGGGGTTGCATTGGGCCAGCCCTGCAGGAGAGCGATGATGCGCTGCTTGCAGCAGCCCATGCCACACAAGCACTGGTACCATCTGACACGAGCACTCAGAAACAGGACAGGTAGTGCCGAGGAGGGCACAGCCCTCTTGCAAGCCCAAATACTGCCAGACCCTTTGTAACTCCTCTCTGTGACTATGGGAAGGGGCTTTATCCTCATTTCTGCTGGTGTTGGGATGCTTCTTCCGGGGCCTTTGGGACAGTTGTGGCTGCAGGGATCTCCCTGCCACAATACTGTATGGGGTAGTTCCTGGCTGTTTCTGGAGGCTGTCATTTCAGATGCCATGTCCCTAGGGAGTGAGCAAACACCCTTGCTCCCTAGCCTTGTGGTTCTGTGAGCCAGTTCAAAGAGACTTCAAAAATCATTGCAGGTCTCATGCCCTTCTTCTACCCTGGCTGATGCATCCTGCTCCTGCTGTCAGACTTGGGGTTACAAACATGTTCCGTACTTTCCTCCTATGGATTATCATCCAGGGGTCTCTTTGACCCACTTACCAAACCGTCCTTTCTGGTCTGGCCACAAATGACCGAGATCCTTTGCCTCTGCAGTGTGCACTTCTGCCTCACTCTTTGCTCTCCTCTGGAGTCCTCTGGGCCTGAGCTGGTCCTTGTCATATGTCCTCATAGGTAAAGCTGGAGATGGACAAGGCTGTGCTGTGGCTGGTTCAGGAGCAATACAGGATCCAGGTCCTCCTTTCCTCTGCCATTCTCTCTGAGGCAGGCAGCTGGCTCTAACCTCAAATCAATCATTGCAGCATTTCTTGATACACCAAAGGCTAAACTCCCCACAGTGGATGTGAGAACAGGCTACTGAGCCTGGGATGGACATAGCAAGCAGACACAAAACTGCCTTCTCCACCATTGCTAAAGCATGGCTAAGAGGCAGTAGGTGGTCAGGTCACTTAGCCTTTGCACGATATCTGTTCCCACCTGTGCTGGTCTGGTGTGCAGCAATCACTGGCTCTCTCCTGGGACCACAGGGATTTCTGTGCCTCCTCATGGGCAGAGATGGGTAAGCTGTGGGGCAAAACTCCCCACAACCCAAACCCTACTACTGGCTTGTAAGGTTGCACAGCTGGGTTCAAGATGGTGTGAAGTGAGCCAAAAAGTGACTGCTCGGGCAGGAGTGAGAGCTGGGAGAGAGGATTGGAGCTTCATCAGAAAGATTATTTTTTTAATACATGGATGGATGATGTACCTTTATCAAATAAAACAAGTACAAGCCCAGAAACAGTGTATCAGAGAATCATAAAACAATTTAGGCTGCAAGGGATCTCTGAACACCAACCTCCTGCTCTCAGCAGATCCAAGTAGATGAAGTTGCTCAGCAACTTGTTGAGTATCTCCATCACTTCCCTCAAGAATGCAAATCCAGATTCTGGCACAGGAGTAGTCCTGCCTTATTCTCCATCTGCAGGGATGGGGACGGCTCCTACCCCTGGACAAGAAGAGCGTTGGGGAGGAGGAGTACAGGTATGGGACTGTGGCAAGAGCAAGATCCTAAAACTGCAAGCAGCTGTGGGTTTGGGGGTCTGTGCAGCTGGGAGCAGGGCAGGAGGGATAGAGAATTTCCCTTGAAGGAGTGGTCTTGAAACAAACTAGAGGCCTTAGAGGCCTTTAATGCAATTGCATTCCAGCCCCTTCAAGGCAAGGCCTCCTCCACTGAAAACCAGAGGAAAAGTAGTAAGATCCCTGAGTGCAACTTTCTGGGCTTGGAAGAGCCTTCTGGGAACAGTAGAGAGTAGGTAGGGTTGTCTTTGTGCAGAGAGGGCACCACTCTTTTGTCTCATAAGGAAATAGGCGTCTGGTGAGGAAAAAGGCCAAAGACCTGAATTAACAGCTTCACAAGGATATTTCCACTTTATTTTACATTGCATATGTGAGACTAAGTCTCAAACTAGGAGTTACTGATTCTTCAGTGAGTAGAAAATCCCTCCGTAATCTCAAAGGGAAGCCTTAGAGGGAAGCAGGATCCCACCAACCAGGCTTGCACAACTCTAAACAGCAGGTCACATCTTCCCTATTAAAGGAAAGGCCACAGTGACATGCTCCCATCCCTGAGGACACACAACTGCTGCCTGCAGGCAGGAATAAGCCCCTCCCTCACCTGAGCAGCTCCTGGACCTGCAGGGACAGGGCTGGTGTCTGAGGTGAGAGGAAAGCCAAGCACCCAGCTGGAAGGGCTTCCTGGGCTAAGTCCAGGAGGGAGATCATTGCTGCCTGCTGTGCAGGAGGCGCTGGAACAAGGAGCCATCCTTCTGGCTTAGGTGGGCAGGTGAATCCAACTCTGCCACTCTCCCAGCTTGCATCACCAGCACTCGGTCCGAGTCCAGGATGGTGTTCAGCCTGTGGACAACAAATGCCAGGACACACGTTGGTGGACCTGAGGTGAAGCTCTGGATACTGCTTCCCCTGCTGTTAAGGGTGGCCCAAGACATGCCCAGCATTAGGAGCTGTGGAGGATCTCTGCAGTGCAGCTCCCCAGACAGTCTCTGCTCACTGCTGAAATGCAGCACCTCTTAGGAGAGCATCATGATGCCTTCCAGTTGCTGGGCATGGCAGGGCACCAGGAGCACAGAGGGAAGTTCTGTGGTGGGGAGAAGCTCAGGGCATGCCTGATCCTGGGGTTGCACAAAATGTCTCTGTCCCTGTGCAGCCCAGGTCTGCCCAGACTGCCAGCAGAGCAGCAACCTCTGGCTCTGGATAGGGAAGACAGAACAGCAGGAATGTTTTTGCACAGTCATGCACTGTTCAGTGTGAAACTACAGCCCTACAAAGCTGCAGGTCTCAAGGACGACACTGCACAGGATTTGACTAGGTAAAAGGCATTATGGAGTTCAAGACTGGTTACACGTTCATATCCAAGAGAGTGCAGGCTGTGGCACTGGAAATTACTTGGAGGGGCAAGAGACATGTACAGAGTCACTTCCCATCCTGGATTTCACCCAAAGCTGAACGGCATGGAAAAACCATGGATACAAAACAACCCTATCATCACCTCTCTCTCATTACTGCTCTCCTCCATTGCTCTTCATCCCAGTGGAAAAGGGGCTGGGGCCATCTTCAACTCAGTCTTGCTGCTTTGCCTTCTGCCACTCCTTCCTCTGCTGTTTCTCCTCTTTAATTACTCCCTCATCAAAGGTGGCCTTCCCCCACCCAACCCAAACACACATCTCAGCCCACAGTGGCCTTTCACTTCTACTCTATTTATGCCTAACATCCCTAGTGTAGGAACCATATTCCCTTCACACCCCTCCTGCCTCCCTCCTACATGATGTACTTAACAAGACCCACTTGATTCACTTGCCAGGCCCAGCCCACCCTGCCTGTCATCCATCACTCCCACTCCTGTGCAGCAGGACACCAGCCCCTGCCACCTGCTCATTTGATTTTTATTTTTGTGGTAACCTCTGTGCTTTGAAAACACCCTCCACACAATTGCATAACCCTCCTCCAAACGCTCCTCTACTTGGCAAGAGTAAGAGCAGAGAACACCACCTAATGCTGATCCAGCCCTTCTCTGCAGCATTCACGTTTTGCCCTCTTCCCTCTGGCTGCAACCGTCCACTACTCCTAATCTCTCAGATGTGGGGCAATCACTCTTGTCCTGTCCTGCCTGGGCAGTGTCTGTCTTGCTGGCATAAGGTGCAGGCTGGGACTAAAACTCAGGATTTTGGAGAACAGAACTATCCAGGAGCTGGCTGCAGCCCTTCACTGCTGGCTGTCCTGCACTGCCCTCTACTGAGCCAGGGACACCACGTCCACGTGCTCGTCCACGGTCTCCACATTGCCCCTTTCCATAGGTTAGTTCTCCATTACTCCTCACACCCTAATTTGGCAGAACCACAAGGAACGATTCACCTGCCCTACAGATCCCAGCAGGCAGTGCCCAGGAAGAGAAAACTGTGATATGATGTGGCATTTTGCCCTTTGCTGACACCAACTTCTGGGTACAACATTTTCCCCTTTTCACATCCAGTTGTTCCCAGAACCCAGCAGAAAAGGCAAAACGCAAGGTCCAGCTTTGGCACCTGAAAAACCTTATCACAGAGACCTTTGTGCTCAGCTTGAGGCCCAGGCCTGGCACGTGCAGCCACCTCTCCCTGTGAGTGGCAGGATGATTTTAGGCACAGAGACTCTTTCATACCTGTGAGCAATTGTCAGAACAGTTTTATCAGCGAAGCGCTGGCGGATGGTCTGCTGCAGCAGCTGGTCTGTCTTCTGATCCACACTGGCTGTGGCCTCATCGATGCACAGCACCTGCCGGGGACAGAGAGTGAAGGGAGCTCCCAAGCACCACAGCAGAGACCCCACTCCCCACCTAGAGAAGTTAGCACAGGATATCTGTTCCCATTACACCTCCAATTCTGCAGTGCTCTCCTCTGCTGTCCCCAGACAGTCACCAGCAGGTCACCCTTCCCTTGCTCCAATAGAGGCAGTGCACTCACCTTGGCCTGCGTCAGGAGGGCTCTGGCCAGACACACCAGCTGCCTCTGTCCCACAGACAGACTCTTTCCCCTCTCTCCCAGCTCGCTGTCCAGCCCACCTGCAGGGATCAAGATCAGCAGTCACCTGCATCATCTGTACAGGGCCCCAGACAGCACCACCAGTCCAAGGTTTTCTCAGTAGCACACAAAATCCCAATTCTGCTCAGGCCCAAGCCTTAGGAACTGTAGCCTTTACACTTAGACACAAGCAACATCTGGCACAGCTCCCTTAGAACTAAGGCCTGCCTTATCTCTCAGCTACTCCTCTAACACCCACCGAGGCCAGGTCTCACCAGCAAAATTCTGCCACCCAATCCATCACCTGCCAGTCCATTTTCCTCTAAAGGTCAGGGAATGTCACTGGGTCCCACTGACCTGTTTCCACACTGGTTCTCGTGTGACCTTGCCTAATCCATTCCCTACTGCATCCACCTCAGCTCCCTGCCTGAGCTAAGGCCTTCTCTCCTCTCGCAGAACCTGCACTCATCAGCTGCTTCTCACTGGTTTTCAACTCACCCATCTGAGCAACAGCATCCCACAGGTGGCACTGCTCCAGCACCTCACGGAGCTCAGCATCTGTCCGTTTTCCCTGGGGGTCCAGGTTTTCTCTGATTGAGCCACTGAACAAAAATGGATCCTGTGGGATGATGGCCAGCCTAGATCTGCAAGCAAAGGAAAGCTGAGGGCTCATGGGATGGGTTCTGCAGAAAAACAAAGATCTGCTCTATTTCTTTTTTCATGGGGTGTCTTAGTTTGCTACAAATCTTAGAGGCACAGAGACATGGGTCACATATTCAGTCTGGTTTCCGTAGCCCAACTGTTGATAAACAACAGAAAGACTCATAAAAAGCTGCCACAATCAGAAAAGAGGATGCCACGACAAGAGTGAGCCCTTTGCTCCTCACTCTTTATGTCAGCATCCAGCCATTGACAGCTCTCAGCCACTGTCAGCTACCCTGCACTCCACTCAGCTGTACCTCAGTTCCTCCAAGCCCACCAGCTGGCTGTCAACACCATCCAGGAGAATCCGGCCTGATTTCATCTCCACCATACGGAAAAGGGCCAAGAAAAGGGTGGATTTCCCAGATCCTGTGCGACCCACAATCCCCAGCTTCTCTCCAGGGTAAACAGTGAAGCTCACACCATCAAGTGCATTAGGCAAGCCTGCTCTGTAAGCCAGGACCACTTGCTGGAACTCCACAAGCCCCTCGCTTGGCCAGTCAGCAGAAACCTAAGGATACACAGGTGAGAAAGGGTATGATAACGATTGACTGTCATCTTCAGCATCACCTCCTCACAGCCCATGCCCCATCCCTCCCTTTGGATGGTTGCTTGGCTTCTGAGCAGAACCAACACACAAGCCCAGTCCCACCTCCAGCCCACTCCTTGGCTTGTTTTTCCATCACAGCTTGTATCTAGCATCCATTCTGCTTCCCTACTCCTTCCTGTCACTCCAGCCTTCACCAGTTCTTGCCAGAGATTCATCCTCCCCAGGAGATATAAAATATGAGTGATCAAGGTGGTTTCTGTGGTGAGGGCCCTCCACACATCCACTGGAACCCTGTGATCTCCCCAGGGGGCAAATGGAGGGCAGAGAGTCAGAAGATGGGCCAGTACCTGAGAACACATTTGAGCTTTTACCTGGACCAGTTTTTCCTGGGGCTCCACTGGGATGTCTGTGGTGTACTCCTCTGTCCGCTCCACACTTACCATCATGATCTCTGTGTGAGTGAAACTGGAAATGAGGCCTGAGAGCAGGTTTGTGACAGACAGGGCATACGAGAGTGCCAGGCCCACAAGTCCTGTGAGGACAAAAGCATAAGCAAGAGTGTCACTGGGAGGGAAGGAGCTGGCATCTTTGTGGGCAGACAAAAAAAGGGAAAAGGATTCTGGAGTCTGAGGTCACACTTGAGGTTGGGGACACACAGGAGCAGAGACAGGAGCTGAAGCACCACACTATAGGTGACTTTCTAGGGACAGGAAGCAGGAGCTCTGGATCTTACCCCAGTGTAGGAAAATGTGTAGCTCTGGGCTGGGAGAGGAGGAACCTCTTGAGCCCAACTTAGGAATGGACATAGATCAATCCCTGGCAGTCTACCTGGATTTCCCAGCTGCTTCTGGTGCTGGATAATGGCAATCCCTGCAGTAGCAGTAACCACAGCAACCCCAATCATCTGCAAGCGGATGTCCAGCCAATCCATCACTGTGTTGCTGGCAAAGAGGCAGCGCTGGTTCTGCTCCAGACGCAGCTGATTCTCCAACTCAAACCTATCAGGCACACAACAGAGGTCTGCACCACTCAAATTCCCCTCCTTCTGTCGCAAGACCAAGGGCATTCCAGCCACCCTATAACCAGCCCCACATGAGAAAGGCCTTGGGCCTATAAAGCCAAAGCTCTGTCCTTCTGGGTGCTCATGCTTTCTGCTCACCTCTTTGTTGCCCGCATGGCTCTGATAGTGCTCAGTCCCGAAAGGGTCTCTGAGAAGTGGGTGTAAATGGGAGACAGGGTGACACTGTGGAGGCGCTTGAGCTCCCGGGATGTGAATCGGTAATAGCGCTGAATGAAGAAGTAGACTACAGCCAGGGGGAGCAAGACCAGACCAATCCAAGGGAGGCCATAGGTCATTATCACCAGCATGCCCAAGAGCCCATAGATGTTGGCTAGGAAGATGTTGAGGATAAATGGCAGGCTGTCATCCACACAGTACAAGTCTGAGGAGAAGCGGTTCAGGATCCGGCCTGTTGGTGTGGTGTCAAAGAAGGTGACTGTGGCCTGGTAATAAGGGAACAAGACAGTCAGAGCCAGGCAGCTGCAGTGAGATCCAACCACAAAACAGTGTGCAGGAGAGCAGCACCAAGGGGAGCAGATAAGGCCACAACTCAGTGGCCGCCACAACTTCCTTACCTCAGCCTCCAAAGCCAGCATCCACTAGCAGCCAAACAACTCATGTTGTTTGCATGGCAAAAGGAAGCACTCCCTCTGTATCGAATGGCTGACAGCTACTGAGAAAGCAGGTACTCAGACACCATGATGGCCCAATAGTAGCAAGGCAAATCCAGCCTCTAATCCAAACTTCCAATCCCTAACTTCCAATCCCTTAATACTAACTCTAGCTTGAGGACCCAAGGATTCCAAAAACATAAAGTTAGTTAACTGATACCTGCCAGCGTTGCCCTAGATCTTGCTTAATAACTCCTTCCAATCTTATCTAAACCTGAACTCACCATCCTGTAAAAGGTACTTTGATTTGACTGGCCCACATCTTGGCTGTAACATCTAAGCCTAATGAGTGAACAGATGTAGGTGTGAGCCATAAATCATCCCTCTATGGAATGAACAGGACACATTTTGAACCCCAGCTCATTGGCCCCTTGTGCTGGCTGTGGTGCAGCCCTTTTTGAGTGCAGTACCTACCACCCAATACCAACAGAAACCTTAATCTATCTCCTACACCCTTACTCCCAGCTATGAGAAGAATGTCAGCTTGCAGGAGCCCCAGCCTGCTCTGGACTTTGTGCCCAATACCTTTAGAACCCTTTGGAGCAGTCGGTTGTGAATGACAGCAGCAGCACGGAGAGTGCCATAAGCAAAGAGGAAAGCCCGAATAATGGTGAAGAGGGAGTTGGCCCCTGCAATGCTCCCATAAACTATCAGGTAGAAATTCACATCCACAGAGCCATTGGGAGGGGCTGGGGTCTTGTCCAGATCTTGAATGGGGGAACTGGAAAAAAGGAGGAAAATTATGAATCTGCCAACATCCTCTTGTCAGTAAACTCACAGACAGGGCATGAGAACCCAAGAGCATACTCCAGGGGAAATCAGGATATTTTAGCCTGATACTCCTGTTACACCCCTTTGGCATCTTGGGACAATACTCTGATTATTATGCAGCTAGGGGTCTTCCCTAAGCCCTAGACAGAGAAGTCTTTTGGGCATGTCATCAGGTCAGGGATTTTGATTCTCTTTGTCAAACCAGCCACACACGTCCTCTGAAGTGAAGTGGTCAGTTTATCCATCCCCACTCTCCAGTATCTTCACAGGAAATGCAATTAAGGGTATTTCCAGCTTCCTTTGGCACCACTGGATCATATTCACTTACACAAGCCCAGCAGTGGAGAAGAGAAGCAGCTCTGGGGAAGGCAGGGAAGCTGAGCAGGCCATCACAGAGGTATTTGATGTCCGGGATATGCTGGAGATCCAGTATGACAGCCACCAGTCCGAGATATTTCTGGATGCTACAGAGAAAGACAGACTACATACAGAGAAATTCTGCATTTGAATCAGCAAATATGAAGCAGACAAGCTGCAGGGGAAGCTGCTGGAAACAACTTTTCCATAGTCTTGCTGCCCAGTGTAGTCTTCTCCCGTTAGTAGTAGAGCAGGAGCAAGGGAACAGCTTTGAGCTGCATCAGCAACAGAGCACTGCTGCAGAGGTGCAGTAATGCAAATGCAGCAGCGAGATGCCAGGTACATCTCCCACATGTGCCTCTTCCTTCTTTGAGCCACTTTAATTTGGGGAAGAGAAAAGTGGTCTACCTGCTACAGGTAGAGAGTGTTTAAAGGTGTCCCTCCTTCTGGACTCCATACAACCAAGGAATGAGACAAGAGGAGTGACTAAAGAGAGATGTGCTGCTGGGTGGGTAACTGCCTCACCTTGCATCAGAAACAGTGAGAAGAGGATTGATATTGCCAAGCAGCTGCCCATTGCCATCCAATAGGCCTTGTACACCTGAAAAGCTACTGCCCCTTCTTTCTTCTCTTCCTCCTTGTGAATGAGATTATAGTTTTGGGTTGGTTCTTCTGCCTCTGTTGTTATGGCCTCCTCCTGTCCCTGTTCATTAGGGGCTGTGGGAATGGATGCAAAAGCAAAGGTCAGTGCCATGTTTAATTCTTCTTGCAGCTGTTCTTAACTGTGAACAAGTTAAGAACAAGTGCAAGTCTAATCTATGAGGGACACTTTTTTCCCTCCTCTCTCCTCTTTCAAGACAGGTGCACCAACTCTGGCAGTTCTTCATCCAAAACTGGACTACAAGTGGAACAGATTCAAATACTGCTCCAGACCAATACCCAATGATATGTGGGCCTCCTGTCCTTCTGTGCATACACCACCCATATATCTGCCTCAGCAGAGCAAGATGGTGGGAGTTCTGCTCTAAGACCAGCAGTCATCAGATACATGTTCTGTCTGGAAGGTCAGCTGTGCTGCCCCAGCTACCCTTAAGCTCATCAGGAACAGACCTTTATCCTTATGCCCCTTGTCTGTATCCTTGAACCTGGGGAAGGCTTCAACAAGCGGCAGGATATCAGCTGGTGTTCCTGCAAAGAGAGACATGCAAATTCTTCAGCATCTGTGAGGAACAGGTGACAACTCTCCACCTTCCCATGGTCTCTTATCCTGAAATGACCCAGTTTTGTTCTCTCATAACATTCCCTACATTATACAGCAACTGTACCCTTGAAGGCTCCGCTCCGTTCAACCTGTTACATCCTTCTGCCTCATCAGCTCCCCACATCTAGGGCTGTCCTGTTTTATCTGTACGTCTGCACATTCTCTTCCACCCCATCTCTGCCAACACGCAGTGCTCTCAGTGTCCTCTTTTTTTGCTGGGCTCCCCACTAGTAAATCCTAACATTTTCAAGCCATTCCAAGACACGGGCACAAGTGAATGCCTAAGAAGACAGACAGTGTACCTGTCTTAACTATCCTGCCATTGTCCATCAGCAACAAGGCATCGGCCTTCTCCAAAAACTCGGTCCTGTGAGTGCAAAGGACCCTGGTCTTATGTTTGAGAACTCCAAAAATGCATTTCTGCATAATATGGTTGGCTACATCTGCATCAACAGCAGCCAGGGGATCATCAAGGAGGTAAAGGTCCTTCTCCTGGGAGGGGAACAAAAGAAAAAAGGATACAGCTGCTGGCCCTCTGGAGCAGGCAGTGCTGTAGAGAAAAGTCCAAGTGTCTCCATGTGGAAGCACCTTTAGGCTAGCACAATGTGCTTTAAAGACATGCTGCCACAGCTCACTGTACAGCTGAGTTCTTACAGCCTCTTTGTATTTGACTTGGCATGATCTGCCACACAGTTACTCCTTTGTTATTTACCTGGTAAATGGCTCTGGCAAGGGCTATTCGAGCCTTCTGTCCGCCACTGAGTGTCACACCATTTTCACCCACCTCTGTCTGGTCACCTGCTGGTAAAATCTGAAATATTCAAGAAAGTAATTTAGAAAGGGACAGGAAACTGCTGCAGACACAAAACCAGGACACAGGGGCCCCTCTCCACTCTCTGGCAGTAATTTCTAAGGCTGACACCTCACCAACAATTAAACAATGCAACGGTCTATACACCAGTTCTACAGACAACTGGCAAGCTTTATTTAGGCAACAAAAATCTCTTACACTCCAGAATAGGGTGGTCACATCTGAACTACCCACTGAGAGCAACTTCTGGCCTAAGGTAATTGCACACAGTAATTTTCAGTGAGAACAAGAGCTGTGCCTGCATCAAAATTATGTCAGGGTCCTTCCAAACAGTGTAGCAGTAAAAACTACCAAATTTCAGTACCTGAAAATAAGTCTCCTTTTGGTTTGGTAGCATAGCTGTATTCTACTAAGTCTCAAATAAAAATCTTGCCTTTTCAGAGTATTCATAGCTCTGGCCAAAACAAACAGGAGCTGCTAAAGCTTGGCACTTCAGAAAATCAGGTATCAACTTGTAAACTGGAAGAAGGCTAGCTTCCTACCATATATACAGCCAGGTTTAGCTAATACAGCCAGTAATTCAAATTTAGAATATATGTCAGGAGCACTAACTTAGCCCTTCCAAATCCCAAAGAAGTTACTTCTGATCCCCCCCCAACTCCCAAAAAACCCATCAGCTGCTGATAGGTTCTGCCTGAAAAACCCAACAGTCATCAGTTCTGCAAGGACAACTCCCTTCTCCGGGATGAAAAGCTTTTGGCTCAGCAGCAGCAGAAACCACCCAAAGTGCTACAAGAGTGACCCCACACCTTAAAGAAGTATGGGCACACCAGGAATGGTGTGGGCTTGGTAATCAAAGCAGCACTGTGGGATGGGACATTGGAAAAGCAGTCTACACCCTGAAGAAATAAAGACTGATAAAAGGATGTTTTCGCGGACAGTGGTAAACTGTATCCAAGGCTCCTGCGTGGCCAGACCAAATCCTTGCTCCAGGTCACAAACATACATTCGTCCACCTTGTCTGCAAGCACAACAGAAGTGGTTATAAAGGGCAGCAAAGGAAAATTGCTGGCGGATCAAAATTACCTATGGGCTGGCATAGCACTGGACAGTCCCCACCTGCTGTGGCATGGAGGGATCAAGCAGGGAAAAGTCTTTAGGCTACTTACTTAATGAGCTCTCCAGTAACGGCTGCAAGAAGAGAGCTTTTGCCAGAGCCAACCTTCCCAACAACCCCCAGGAGCATTCCCTGCAAAAGAAAAAGATGCAACCTGATGTGCTAATACATGGTAGTTTGTCCAGATTTCTTGAGCCACATAGAGCCTGTAAGGAAGCTGGTTGCTAGGACCATCTCACACATTCAACAGCACAGCTGGGTATAGCTGTCAGGTAAACCAGACTCTTGATAGGACAGGACACAGATTTGCAAGGAGTGTTAATTCTAGAGCCCTGCTCTGTTCCCTGTCCTGTTGTCTCCTGCAGCAGCAGTAGAAAGCAGAGAGACCTATCTCCTGTCTATAAGCCATGGATGTTCTCTAGCACCTTTCAGCTTTGAGATGTAATATGTGTCCTCTGCCTCCTGACCAAGAGAAGATTTTGATGCACAGCTTCTAAACTGAGGAAAACATGCCACCTCTGCTCCATTATTTCTAGTTTCCAGTATTTTTTCTCTAGTGCCACTTTTCTGTATTACCTCCCATGTCCTTGCTCACCTTCCTCAATGACAGGTTCTCAATGTGCAGTTGCAGAGTGCCTGTGGATGAGGGCTGCCTGGTGCTTTCCTCCTCAGCTGGCACCCACGAGAAGGCTGCGCATCGTATCTCCATGGCAGTAGCAGTATCTGAAGGGCTATCTACAAGTGAAAAGCAGCACAGCAAAGCACTGGTATAAGACCAGAAAATTAAAGCGTCACAAATACCATCAGCTTCGTTGTTCTCAAATGCAGAAACCACGGATGAGGCACCGCATGATGCCCCCAACTCAACCACAGAATGAGACTCTTGTCTACTGACTTGCCCTTAAACTTATACACCCCTTCTTCCAACTCTCCTGTCTCCAGCCCACACCAGACACACATGGCTGTCCAGGAGACACTGTAAGGATATAACCTTAATAACCTGGTTTTATTATTGCTGAAGGTAAAGGAATGACCAGGGAGCTGGCCAAATGCAATGAAAGAAGGCAAGGGAGCTAATATGGCTCAGGAAAGGGGCTACCACTCAAGCCTTTCTGCTAGGTGAAGCCAAGTTTGTTGATAGCTTCAGTGTCAGAAGAGATTTGGTCAGAGGACAGAGCTACTTGTTCTACTGGGAGACTAATGACAAGCCATGGGTTATGGCTGGTAAAGTGGAATGCTATAGACTTGTCTCTTGCTTTCCACAGAAATTAAGAGAAGTTAATGTATCTACTCTGCCTCTACCCAACTGAACATCTTGAATCACAGGGTAACAGCCAGCTTCCCTCCAGTACTGCCCCTGGGCCTTGCACCTCAGCTCTCTGCTCTGAATGTCAGATTTTTTAACCATTACCTGGGGCATAATAAGCTTCCAGGTCCTGGTCCATGAGTTCAAAGAATTGCTGGATTCGATCCAGGGAAACCTTGGCCTCCAAGATTGCATTCAACACCCATGGGAAGCTGTTGAGGGGTAGAATAAGCATCCCAACAAGGGCCAGTGCTGTGAACACCTGTATGAGTAAGCAAATAGCCATGAGCTGGAGCCAGTATCTCCCTTGTATCCTCCAAACAGCTTCACCAGTGAGAGCCTGAAGAGCTGTGGAGAGACATGGGTTGGGTTTATTTCCCAGAGAAGGTTCCTCAGGACTGCAGTTCCACTGTAGACTGCACAAGACAAGTTTGGAGCAATCCCTACTACCTACTCACCTTTGTGGCAGTGAGCTGGTGACCCAACAGGACATAGGCGACGAAGATGGCGATGGAGACAACAACAGGCAGTGCTGCCCACATGTACACACACAAAGCATCCAGGTAACTGACGGCCCGTAACTTCTGCAGCTCTTTAGCCCGGCAGGCATTTATCCTGCTGCTGAAGTGCTTCTCCCAGGCGTAAAACTTGATCACACGAATGCCACATAGGAACTCTGTCATTAGCTGCAGGCAACAAGGAAAAGAACATCAAGCAAACGGTGCCCAGGCAGACTGGGCTGTGCCTGGGTGTGCAGCTGTCTCCTGCTAAGGGTCAGGCTAGAGATATCAGGAACCACTTATTGCTAACAAAGACATAAACTTAAGTAGCAACTAATGGAGCACTATTGTACTCATCCATCCCACCAGCTTCTTCAGCCACCCATGCTGTGCACAACTAAGGAAAAGGCAAAATATTACACTACTTTCTAAGTGAAAGATGAACAACACAGGTGAATGGATGTGTGGAATGGCTAGCTCCAGCCTGGATACTATTTATCAGTGCCTTGAGATAATACCTGACTCCCAGGCCTGGTGCTGCCCTGACACAGTTAGTCTGTATCCAGAGCCTGGTTGATTAGTTTCCAGAACTCTGGTGTCCCTGCAGGATGCAGTCCCCTAATTTCTGCTTTCACGTCAGCATATGTAGAGCAAGCTGACTGTATCCCTGCCCAATATTAAAGAAAACTAACAAAAGATACTTTATTCAGCAATCCAGTCTTACAACAGTTGGAGAAAGTTTGGCATCATCAGATATAACTCTGGTAGATGCACCTTCTGTTGGGAAAAGAAATATATTTAAAGCTGCCAACAGTTCTGACAGGGAGTTGACTTACGTTTCATGCTTCCAAAGCATGAGTGAAACTGCTGTCCCCTCAAGTTAGAGAAACAATGCTAAAAGGTGCGAATCAAATGTCTGACCATGTGGTGAGGAGAGATGGCACTGCAAATACGGGAAAAGCAGAGGAAAAGATGACTGAGAGTGCCAAGCCTGGAGCCATATAAAATTACATCCATGATCATTGCTTTGTCCAGACTGCAAGCCACTTTAACATTGATGGCATCACTGGAGCAATAGGATGGATGCATATCTAGAGGAAGCCATCAGGACTCTTAGCTTAACTACCACACATAGAAAATAAACTTGCAAGGAAACCTAAATTAGTCCAGGGGACAAGACAAGCATTAAAGGTTCATGATCTTATGGGTGAAACTACATCAACCTGAAACACTTTTGACCAAAGTGTGTGTGTGTGCCCCTTCTGGCATTTTTCTCAACAGCTGCTGTGATTCAATTCATCTGCCTTGGATCATGACTAGTGGCGAAGAAGCCAACATTCTGGGACAAATAGGGGAAAAATACAATCTCAGAGAGATGCCTCTGCCCCTCACCTTGACTCGTGTGTCCTTGTGTTTCAGCATCCTCTTGTTGTTCAGCATGATGCGGTTCGCTATGATCTTGTTGATGGGCACGAGCAGCAGTGCCAGGGCCACGCCTGCCAGAAAGGCTACCCCCACTTGCTGGTAGAGGAGGTAGAGGGTAATGGCAAGCTGGACAGGCAGGCTCCACAACTCGTGGAAGCTGAGGCAGAAGTTGACCAACCTATTGGTGTCCGTGCTCATGAAATTGACAATTTCCCCCACAGTGAAGTGGGCAAGGCTGGTGCTGCTGACACGCAGAGCCTTGCGGTAGATGGCGGAGATGACTGCGGCCCGCACCATCAGCATCATCTTCTTCGTCTCATAGCTGAACTGGTTCCGCAAGAGAGCGCCCAGGAAGGAGCCAGCAAAGAGCCCAAGGGCATAAAGAACCCCGTGGCTCAGGGGCTCCTGCCGTGACTCCATGAAGTTCACCAGCAAGTTCAGAAGCAGAGGGCCTGAAAAACCCAGCAGACTGGCAGCCAGCTTGAGAACTCCAAGGGTGTAGAAACGAAGCCCAAAGGCTGCATGAAGGACTGACAAGAGGCACACAGCTTCCTGGGCATGGTGCGGGCTGTCTGGAGCATCACTACTCCCATCATCTCCAGCAATGATTGGGCTGGTAAGAGACACTGTCTCCTCCTCTGCTTGGTGAAGAGCTGCCTTCTTCTGCCAGCAAGAGTAGAACCGGTCACAGACCCTGGCAGCCTGGAGCTGGTGAGGAAGCATATAGACATCCTGCGGCTGGTTCAGCTTCTGCTGGTAGCCACGCTTCATAAGAGGGTTCATCCAGGTGTAAAAGAACCGTGAGAGCCAGCTCTCACCATCTTCTGCCACTCTCTGCTGGTCAGGCACTGGGACCCCTGGCCCTGAGATGGGCTGGTCTTGTTGCCAGGAGTGATTGATGGAGAGGAAGTCTTGCCTGCCAGCAGTGGGGAAGAGGTAACTGGCCACATAGGCAAGCAGAGAGGCCAGCTGCAGACAGAGGATGGCGAACCTGGAAGAGGCACCGGGGTGGGCAGGGGACCAAGCTGTCCCACTCTGGCAGTACCACACCAGTGTGATGATGAAGGAAGGTAGGGGTAAGAGAGTGAGGAGAGCCAGAGCTGCAGGGCCCCTGGAAAAGCCGTGAATGGACCTGCAGAGCATGAGAAGAGCGAAGCCATGCACCAGCCATGTCAGGGCAGCAGTGCCATTGGCCAGCACTTCCAGGTACACAGGGCCCAGCTCCTGCTGGGAAACAGTGGCTGGGATGGTATCAGCAAAGAATAGGCCAACAAGTACGAAGGAAGCAGCTATTCTCCATCCCCAGCTTGGCCTGCAAGGCACACCGGAGCCAGACCTTGAGGAGGAAAGAGCAGTGAAATAAATTACAATTGAAATTCCACTAGCTCTCAGTCAGTAGTGTCCTTTCTTCCTCTCCTCTTCCCCATATTTATACATCTACTCCTACTTAACCTTCAGGATACACCTCCCTAGGTATGTAACTTTTTCTGACTGTAGGCATTGCTAAACTACATCAGGTCAATATAGCCCACTCTTCGGTCAATACCAGAGATTAAATACTGCCTAAGAAAAGCATTTCTTCATAGAAATTTGTTTGCAAACGATGATATTTTGTGGTCAAATTAGACTCCAATCCTTGAGGATTAACAGCAAAAAAAAAAAGTGTGTTTAACTTTTTTAACAGAAATTTTGGATGATGAAATTCTCTGTGTCACATCACTGATCCTTGATTTCTTTGTCTGTTGGATATTTTTTCTAGAAACATTTTTATCACTGTTAGTTTCAGTGATGCTGTGCTTGTAAAGTCTATCATCTATTACCCATCAAAATACTTCATTATCACTGGATTCTTTGTGGCCTTTCAGTATCAGTCAATGTTGTCATGTTTATGAATTTCGGAAGAGGATAAACAGAAAAACAATTTTGCATTCTCTGAACTCCTTATTGCCTTATATACATCTTCTATGCCACCTCTGATTTATATCCTCTCCCAAAATACTCCCAGTTTCCCCAGCCTTCATTCACTGAAAAAGCTTTTAATTACTTTCTGTGATGTTATGCCCACAATCCCCTCTATTTTTTCTGGATTCCTTTCTGTACACTGAATTAAGACGGATGCTGACAAATATCATAGCATTATAGTATTGTGTCCTTCCTTAATTACATATTCAGCACATGATGGGGAGATATAATTTCTAGCCTTTCCACCCCACCTCCAGTCCTGCATAACAATCAAGAGCCAGACAAGTCAGTTGTCATACCTCGGAGTGCCAAGGAAGCAGGCACTGACCACTGCAAGGATCACATGAGGAATCACATTTAATGTCAGCTGGTTGAAGCAATGGCCAACGCTGCCACGAACCCACACAGGGAATGGATCTTCTGGGCTGGTCCCACACAAACCAGCCAGGATGTTCTCCATCCTTTGCTGGTAATTCAGTGTGAGAGACAGCCTGTCCTAGGGTAAAGAAAAAGCAGCATGAGGTAAAAAATGCTAAGAACTACAGCCGCAGTCCAAGATGGAGTGATGAGTAATTAACAAAGCTAGAAGTAACTTCCCGGGTCATAGTCCAAGCCCAACTATTGTTCACTCACTAGCATATAATGTACTTCATAAAATGATCAAGCTCCAGCTTAAAATAAATGATGTTGTTTATTCCCTTAAATCACCCCAGGACTGCTATGCCCTGTGAATTTGCAGCTTTTTTATTTCCAGGTTGTTTTTTTTCTTCCCATGACAAGTTTATCCTCTCTAAGTAGTATAAGGAAGTATTTTCCTTCCTATGGATCGGTATGAAAAATATTTTGAGCTGCTTAAACAATAACCTATTCATTGCATGGCCATGCTGGCGACACTTCCCACGGCGGTAGTCCTTAGGGCAGCGTGTCACATGAAACACCCCCTAGACGGCAGGGGAGGACGCTGCTGCCCATCCTGAGGAGCGGCGCTACCTCTAAGCTACAGACGACTGGCGAACCGGCCCCCTGCGTGTGCGGCCCCGCGGACAGCGGCACACCTGGGAAGGCCTCGGCTTTGCAGCGATTTCTGCTCGCTCCAGCCCGTCCCATCTCCAGCCTGGAGCCGGCTGAGCTCGGCACGCAGGCGGGGGCACTGCAGCGCCGCGGCTGCGAGCCGGCACAGCGACCTCCGGCACAGGCCCGGCCCGGCCCCGGGAGCTCCCAGCCGCGCCGGGGGCGGCCGCT